ATAGTACCTCTCACTCACTCTGGCAAGTGTTCGTGAGTAGCCCAGATGACCGGATGTGGGTTCGTCATGGCAAGCGAAGAGGACGTCGTCTCGCATGTCTCGAGGAACCACCAGGAGGTAGGCACGGTTGTTCGAACGAGCGTTCTTCTTGCACAGCACACCATCTCGAAGGCAGAACGACGGCAACGAGCGGAATAAATGACGTGGTATGATTGTGTCCTGGCCCTCTAAATGATCGATGATCGGACGAATCTCTGCGTCATCCCGCTGCCGTTTACTCAAGTCTGATGAGCTAATGGCGCCCAGGAAGCCTTCGTCTTCCTCTGCTTCCTGACTGCCGACATGAAGGGGCGCGCGTGACAGTGTGTCAGCGTCTTCATGCTTACGGCCGGACTTATGGACGATGGTGACGTCAAATTCCTGCAGCCGCAAGCTCCACCGTGCTAGCCGTCCTGAAGGGTCGCGCAGGCTTGCCAACCAGCAGAGGGCGTGGTGGTCCGTCACTATCTTGAAGGGACGACCATAAAGGTATGGGCGGAACTTGGTGATTGCCCACACGACTGCGAGGCACTCTTTCTCCGTAGTGGAATAATTCGCCTCAGCACGCGATAGAGAGCGGCTGGCGTAGGCTATCACTCTTTCGATGTCTTCTTGACGCTGAACGAGCACTGCACCGAGCCCAATGTTACTAGCGTCGGTATGGACCTCCGTGTCAGCATCATCGTCGAAATGAGCGAGAACGGGCGCTGATTGCATGCGCTGTCGCAGCTCATCAAAAGCTGCTTGTTGCTCGTTTTCCCAGACAAACGGTGTGTCGTCCCTTGTGAGACGAGTCAGAGGTTCTGCTATCTGTGAAAAGCCATGAATGAATCGGCGATAGTAGGCGCACAAACCAAGGAAGCGCCGGACGGCTTTCTTATCGACAGGAGCTGGTAATTCGGCAACAGCGGCAAGCTTGTCCGGATCGGGACGGATTCCTTCGGCGCTAACTACATGTCCAAGAAACTTTAGTTCTTTATAGCCGAAGTGGCACTTCTGTGGCTTTAGTGTGAGGTCCGCCGAACGGATAGCCTCCAGCACGCTGCGCAGGCGCTGAAGGTGCTGCTCGAACGTGGCAGAGAAGACCACCACATCGTCAAGGTAGACAAGACAAGTCTGCCACTTCAGCCCTGTAAGGACAGTGTCCATCATTCGCTGGAAAGTCGCCGGCGCTGAACACAAGCCGAAAGGGAGTACTCGAAATTGGTATAGGCCGTCTGGAGTCACGAAGGCTGTCTTTTCGCGGTCTCGCTGATCTACCTCGATTTGCCAGTACCCGCTTTTGAGATCGAGAGAAGTGAAATAATGGGCACGACGAAGTCTATCTAGCGAATCGTCGATACGCGGTAGCGGGTACACATCCTTTTTGGTCACGTTATTAAGCTTTCGGTAATCGACGCAGAAGCGTAGCGACCCGTCCTTCTTTTTGACAAGCACGACTGGAGATGACCACGGGCTGTTGGATGGTTCGATAACGCCATCGTCAAGCATCTCGCGAACTTGCGTACGTATCGCTTCACGTTCTTTAGCCGACACGCGGTAGGGGTGCTGGTGTATTGGGCGTGCGTCCTCGTACGTGATGATCCTGTGTTGAGTGATGGACGTCTGGCGGATCTTCGAGCAACTTGCGAAGCAAGACCTGTACTCGAACAAGAGCGCTCGCAGCGCAGTCTGGTTATCGGTGGACAGATCAGGATTGATGTCAATGTTGCTCATTGATGTGTCTGCGTTATCCACTACTTCTGACGTGAGACAGTTGGTTACGTTTGCTACTTCGTGGGCAAACGCTATCGAAGTGCCACGGAAAAGGTGTCGATGCTCGTTGCTAAAGTTGGTAACGAGCAATTCAGATCGGCCGTCACGAACGTGTATTACACTTCTCGCTACACATATGCCTTGCTGCAGGAGGTGTTCTAAATTTGTCTCGGCCACCACATCGCCATCGCTCAAACCACAGCATGTTACGTCGACTAGAACACTGGCTCGGGGAGGAAGCGTCACGCTCTGTTCAGAAATACGGAGTACGTCGACACGCATTCCGTCATCCTGCACGTTGATTGCTCGCTGGGCTGAGAACGTGACGCGGCGCTCTTGCAGATCAATGATAGCTCCATTTTCCTGTAGAAAATCAACTCCCAGAATGACGTCACGGGAGCATTCACGTAGAACAAGGCAGCTTGCTACGAATGTGTACCCTTGAATCTGTACTCTAGTTGTGCAGGCACCCAGTGGAGTAACGACATGGCCACCAGCTGTCCGAATCTGCGAGTTATGCCATGGTGTGATTACTTTCTTCAGCTGCGTTTTCAGTTTCCCGCTCAGTATGGAATAGTCTGCGCCGGTGTCCACTAACGCATTAACTACACAACCATCAATTGTTACTGCTATGTCGAGTGAAAGCCGGCTATCCTTTGCAGCAGCAGGTGATGTCGGACCAGTTTCTGTACAGTTCTGCGTCAATAGGAGGTCTTCAGCGTTTCGACGTTCAGCGACCCCGCCCCCAGAGGTCGCTTCGGCTAGTTTTCCCGGCGGGGGCTGGGAGGTCGTGCGGTAGAATACCGCTGGGGCGTTGATGAAAATCGCCTCGGTGATGGAGAGCGTGACTGGCGCCCGGCAGACGGTGGTGCATGCTGCTGGGAGAGGTAGTTTTGGATGTCGCGTGGTCTCTGACCGTAACGGGGTGGCGGCGAGTACGCAGAGAAGCCGCGAAGCCCAAGACGGCGATATGGGCACTGGCGGTACAAGTGATCAGCTTCTCCGCAGTGAAAGCACAGAGGCCGGCGATCAGGTGTGCGCCAAACATCAGACTTTCGAGGAGACGTGCGCCGATCGTCGATGTACTGAACTGGTTGCACTGAACGATGGGCGACAGAAGCACCAGGGACAAAGGCCAACGGTGGTGGCGTGTACGTGCCTTCGTAGTACGGTATGTGCTGCGCTGACTGTAGTGAAACAGCAGGAGCAGGATGGACGAATAATGGCGGCGTAGCAGCAGGGCGTTTCAACGCTTCCGTGTAGGTTGTCTCACGGCGGTATTCAGCAGGAGCTGGCACAGCTGTATCATGAGGCAAGGTGCCCCGGAGGGTCTGGTGCAGCTCATCCTTGATCACAGTTGCAATAGAGTTGACTGTAGGATGAGGTGTTACACCAGCCTTTTGTAACTCTTCACGTACTATATCACGGATGAGTTCACGTAGACAGTCGTTGTTGGTTCTAGTCGCGGTGAAAATGTCGGCAGTAGACATGCCACTGACTTGCCTGTCGTATTGGTTGGATCGCTGCTGCAGCATTTTTTCCATTGTCACGGCCTCGGACAAGAACTCCGCGACCGTCTTCGGAGGACTTCGCACGAGGCCGGCAAAAAGCTGGTCCTTGACACCGCGCATCAAGTGACGCAACTTCTTGTCCTCAGTCATTCTTGAATCGGCCCGTCGGAAGAGGCGCGTCATGTCTTCGACGTACGCGGTAACAGTTTCATTTGGCGACTGGACGCGGGCAAGAATAGCTCGTTCAGCTCTTTCTTGGCGGTCAGTGCTGGCATATGTCTGCAGAAGTCTACGAGAGAATTCGGGCCACGTCGTCAGCTGCTCCTCCCGATTTTGATACCACGTGCGAGCCCCGTCTTCGAGATAGAAGTAGACACGACCCAGTTTTGCCGCGTCGTCCCACTGATTCAAGTTGGCTACGCGCTCGAAGTCCGCCAACCAGTCCTCAACGTCTTCGCGCTCCGTACCATGGAACGTCGGCGGTGCCCGTGGGCTTTCCAACGTATAGCGGTTCGGCGACGTGCTTCCCGTGCCGGTTGCCAAGGTTTGTACCGAAGTGCTGGTCATGTTTGTTGACGTGGTGGGAGCAGTATCGTTGACTTCCGGAGGCAATCCCCTGATTCGGCGGCTGGTCCGATGCACGGGAGTGTTGACTGGCACTGGACTCGTATTACGGCTTCCTGGGGGGGTCTGCAGCATCCGTGAGGCTACCCAGCACCTTCCACCAGTTTGTCACGATGAGTCACAAGTACTGGGGGATTTATTGAACGACCGGGTAGCTAGCTCTAGGACGATGCGTCAGTCGTGGCTGGCTCTCGAGCAGAGAAGAACGCGATCTTCTTTTTTCCTCCAGATTTAGAGCCGCTCTTGCTGCCAACCCACTACGTGCTGGCGGCAATATCTTTTGTCCTGTGGCGATCCACCATTGTGTGACAGATGTGGTGAAGCATTAACAATCCTATACATGTTAATCCAGTGCAAAAAGTTAGAAACTCTAATGAAAACAACCTTTACACCCTGCAATGTTCGTCGGTAGGGAACCGCTTTTTAGTCATAAATCATTGTTAGCGTTTTTAAAAGAAATTCATAGTTTTCATATCATATACCCGGGCATTCCGCAGCACGACCTCTGCAGAGAGGTTTTTGCTGCAGTGGCTACACAAGAAAGCACTTGCCTCGCAGCCCTTGGACACAAGGGCACTGATGAGGCACTTGTGCTAGTGCCAAATATTTTTACACGTTTCTATTATCAAAACCTTTGTCACCCTTTTTTACTGTGCATATCACGTCACTGTCATGTTTTTAATACTTATGTTTTTACCCGCATTATTGCGAGGAATTTTAAGGCCCCTATACAGCCACGCAACATATCATTGTCCACATCTCTATACTCATTGAAATGGCGCTCTTTGGCCATCAATTGGCCCTTGCGCCATAAAGCGCCACACATCATCATCATATTCAAAAGCAGCTCATACTAGTGCGCTGTGCAGCCTTCAATTTCGCACATAACCATCCCGAAGGAAGAAACTCGTAGGTCTAACGAGACGCAACTAATCTGCAGTTTATAAAGATGGCCGACTAGCTCCGGGCAGTGACGTCAAGTGACATAGGTGCAAGCTATGTGTAGCACTTGTGTTTCTTGTTTTTGACTCTTAATCTGCGGGCCTCCCCCTCTTTTGCTCTGTTTACCAGCCGGGAGACGTACAATGCCCTGACGAACTGGCTGACGGATGCGCGCACTCTGGCAAGCCCCAACATCGTCATTCTGCTCGTGGGAAACAAGAAAGACCTGGAGGACGATCGCGAAGTCACCTTTCTCGAGGCGAGCCGGTTCGCCCAGGAGAATGGTGCGTGTGCTCTTCTTTTTTTTTTTTAAATGGACAACCTTCCCAACTGTCGAACCCCTAAAATCCTTTAAATGCAGCATGGTCACCATGAAATGAAAAACACGTCTTGCAGGATAAAAAGCTTTATCGAGACTGAGAAAAAGAAAAAAAGAAAGTTCACCGCAGATTTTGATACAGTCGAACCCCGCTTTGACAAAAGTTGTGCTACAATTCTCGGTTCCCCGTCACAAGTCTGTTGCAGTCAGTGCAGAAATATTCTCACACAACGAACACCTATACTTCTGCCATTTCGCTTCAACTAAATTTGACAATGTATTTCTAGGCTCAGATATTTAATGCCGTGTAATAAACACAGTCTTGCACATTTTGATGCATTATCAGAACATAAAAATAAGTCTGCATCGTTTCGTAAAAGGGGCCACGATAGCAGGCGAAGTGACCTTCGTGCTATCTTTAACCACTGTTACTTCAAAGCGAACTTACGGTAGAAGCACAAGAGGTACGAAGCACCCAAATTCCATTATTAGCGCCCGCACGAGTGAGCGACCAAGCCCTGAGAACATTCATACGGACTTCGAAGACGCCATGTGGAGGCATGCACGCCTCGCAACGCATAGGGTGGCGTGAAGCTTCGACCTTTAGAGTGCGCACAACCTTTGCGTCATCTTGATAGCAAGCCTTCGTGATGGTACAGTGCGTGCCATCCACTTATCACCATGGACAGGCGTGCATATATGCGCAGAGCTGCCTAACATGGTGCACGCACCTGTCAATCGTGATGACTGGATGGCGCGCACTATACCGCTGTTTGGGTTTCATTTGACGCTGATAGTACATTACGGACGTACTGCCGGTTGTTTCCATGTTCCGCGAAGCCTCGACCTCCTCTTCGCCCGAGTCATGTGGGCACAACGAAGAAATAATGTAATGTTTATGCTCATCCTGCAAGGCAACACTTCCCGTTCTATTATGCAACAACACATTTTAGTATTTGAAGACGATAGGTCTTTCTTGGGGACCTTAGGCTAAAAAATCTTGGTTTGTTTGTCTGTCTGTCTGTCTGTACATTTGTCTGTTTGTCCACTCTTTAACAGCATCGGGTATTTGAAACGGTCGACCCCATCATGTTGCTCAAGATTCAGCATTCATACTTGTGCAATTGTCGATTAACAAGCAATTATTGCGCGTATCTGGGGCACCATAACAACACATATATAATCTGCATGTGCGCCTTTTACTAGAACAGGCATACATAAGTAATTTTAAGGACCGTAGCGCTTATCACGTTGCACTGACCATCCAACGCTTGCACGGAGGCGAGTGTTTCCAACGCTTTGCTAAAATGAGACAGCGGTGGCACCTACCCTTCACCTTGCGTTCTACACCTTATCACCTCTGAGGCGGGCACTCACACCCGCACAGAGCCACTCGCTTTGTTTTTGAAAGAAACTGCCAGATGGCGGTCATATCTCACGTGTGACGTGACTTGATGCGCTCGTTCGCTTTCGCTGCACGCTCGAGGCACTCTAATGGAGCACCTCTAGAATACCATTCACAGATTTTCTTGAGCAGAACATCAAATACGTGTTTTCTTCACTCTCTCCACATGCAAGACTATCATCTTTCGACGACATTTGCAGATCACATGCAGATACGGGGCCAATCTTTTACATTGCATACACCCGACTACACTGCATTTCTGGTTGTGTGACTGAACTTTGCGTGCTCAAGTGATTGTTCACGTGAAGGCAATCTAAGTTGCTCGTTGCTGTTGTGTGCATTTTCGTGGTTGTGGGGTTTAGTCTTTAAAGTTTTGAATTTGCAGGATGCGACCATTGGTTCATGCGGGCAGTTTCGTGATCTTTGCTCGCAGTGTGCTTGTCGTCTGCGATGTCTCTACACTCGCACTTTTTGTGAGCCACACTTGGCGCACGGATAATTAATGAAGACGGGCGACATGGCGTGCACAGATTGAGGGGGTCACCATTTACGGACATACTCAAATGACACAGGCGTGCCATTCACAGCTCCTCTGTAAAAAGCAGACTATACCCAATGACAGATGTGACGGGAGCAGCAAAAGCATGACATCATGCGCTTGTGTCCCTAACCGTACCGATGACGAATGTTCGGCGCAATCCAACTTTAGGGCCAGCTTAAAATGGGCCCTTCAGTACTATTCTACCCCCGCATGTTTTATTCGTGGGTTGTGTAGACAGAAGTACAAAAAGACTAATACAGCGAAAACGGCAGTCATAACGGTACACAGTCTGAAGTTATGTGACTTAGAAAATTCAAAATACAAGAAAAAAATGCCGACCCTCAACGTGAGGTCACTTGACCACATTTCACTCGCCCATGACGTCGGAAGGCTGCCCCAATGAAATAAACTGGAAACGCCTACAATGGGAAAACAAGCATCCCATTGTTGCTTGTTTTTTTTGTTTGTTTCCAAAGTAATGTTGACCTTGTTGCCACTAACAAACGTGGTGTCTGATGCCTGACATGCCAGAAAGTCAGTGGGAGCTTGTGCGTGGAAGCTAGGTATTTTCTGCTGTTTTTTACGGCATTCTGAGTCACTCCCTCCTCCTATTCTGAGAAAGGAGCTTGTGGAACGACCAGGACAGTGAAGTATTGCTGACCCTTCGTGCATTGTTTAGTGAGCCACCCAACGAACAACAATGGCACACTCCAGCAGTGCACATGTTGAAAGAGGCAGCTCACAAAAGAGAGAGGTCTTTCGTATGGACATCCGACCCGCGCAAGCCGAAAATCCAGTGGCGAAATGGCAGCCAGTGTCTCTGTCGTGCTTTGTAGTCGCAGCGATCTTTATTTTGTTAAGGCCGCACCTGTTCAGGGTTTGATGAAAAAGCACAGAGAAGAAAAACGAAACTGATTAGTAACCCTAGCTTTAATTCTACTCCACGATCGCTTCCAACGTTACATCAGTCAGTCAGTCAAGGAACTTTATTTGGTCCTGAGAAGACAATGCCCCCATCATGGGGTACCGTCTGGGGGCCCCACCCACGATGGCGCCGGGAGGTTAAAGCTCTCGGCGACTTCGCGGGCTCTCTGGACAGCCCTTAGCTGCTGGTCCTTTGCGGAGCTGGTGATAAACTGAAGCCAGTCTTCCTCAGTGGAGGGAGACCCTGAGCCCTCGTGCAAGTCGTGACACTGCCACAGCATGTGCTAGAGGGTGCACCTTGGATGACCACAGCACAAGCAGCGTGGGTCTATTCGTTTACGAATTTTGACCAAATAAACGGACATGGATACGTGTTTGTTTGTAACATTCGCAGGCTGATTGCCTGTGGTCTGTTTAGGTGTGGGAGTGGAAGCAAAAACTTCCTACGCCCTAGCTGATAGTGCTTACAGACCTCGTTAAAAGTGAAAAGAGGGTCCCTTTGCCACTGCCTTCCCTCGGCCTCCGAGTACCCAGTTCCGGCGCAGGTGTGCGAGATCTCGCGCCTGGGAGTGTGCAAGTTCGTTGGCGTTTGGAATGGATTTCGTGAGCATCACTGCCCACATGACCAGGGAACCATATTATATGCTTTTTGCCTGTCCAAGATGCAGCAGAGAGAACGCGAGTGGCTTCTTTGCACACCGAGCCTTTCATAAATCTTCTAATGGCGGCTCGCGAGTTCGTGTAAATAGTAGAATGGTTCGTAGTGGCCATGGCGATGGCCACTGCCACTTGTTCGGCTTTGTCGGCATCCGAATTTTTTAGCGTAAGTGATGTCAGCAGCTCTCCCCGTAACGACGTAGCTGCTGAAACAAAGTGATTGGAAGCTGCATCTTGCGCTGCGTCAACGAAGGCGACATTGTTCTCAATCGTAGCCGCTGTTCGAAGAAGGGCTCTGGGCCTTGCTTTGCGTCTGCCGCAGTTGTATTGGGGGTGCATGTTTTTAGGTACCTGTGATACAGTATACATTTTCCTGACTTTGATAGGGAGCGCGCACTCCCTCTGTTAACGTTACATTTATCCAATCATATGGCGGCAACCTTCCGGCGTCGTTTCCGCCCGCGAAGTTCTAGGCGAGTGCCACTACATGGGGATGCGGTCGGCAGCAATGTAGTGACTTTATTGCGTGATTAAAATATTTAAATAATTTGATATCGGCGCTTTGAGCTATGCTTAAATTATCTCCAGCTATTTGCCTACGCAGACCACAAATAAAAAATAGGTGCTTTAATAGTGTTGGAGGGTTCCTTTAAAGGCCAACTTCGTTGATTTTTGGAGATCAATGGATCTCAATGAAATTCCCTGGGTACGTTCATTTGCACGTTTGCATCATTCACGGCAAATGGCAAGCTTCAGAGTTTCGCGGATTCTTTTCAAATGAATTTTATAGCTCACCTCGAAATGCTCACCTTCCTTGCCAGAATTATAGGCAACATTGTGTGTGTGACGTTGAATTTTGCCTGGCGGAAGTGGCGGAACTGATGTGCCACTGCAGTGCCTGCTTGTCTGCTATGGATTGTGTTAGTTTGGTCAGCACTTCCTTGTTCGAGCGTGCGATTTCCTTTTTCGTGTTGGTGGGCGTGCGATAGGTGGCACGCGGTGTTGTGTTGTGAGCCTCACACGATTCCCCATATATTCACCTTAACGTTGAGCTTTTTAGCCGATTGTGGCGGACGGCATTGACAGGTAGTGCCATCTGGCGGGCTTTGTGTGTAATCAGGCAGGTTCGGGCCATTGATTACGCCACACTTAAAAGCGCACTCGGTTAGGTTTTGGTTTCGGTATTACGGTTTTTCGGTTATTTAAAATTATTTTAGAATTTGTTGAGCATATCAGCTATCGGGTGTGTAACAAGAGTGTCCCAGAAATATAAAAGCACGATTATCCTGACATGGTCAAAAAAATTGCAGGAGTTGGCCTTTAAAGCACATTGTCCTGAAGCCATTATTTCAGATGCTGTTTCAAATTTTGCTGCTCAAGTCTTGGGTGCCTTGTGGTAATCTTGTTTCGTGGGGGCTGTTTTTCATCAAGGAGCTCTCTCCACAGTGGGTAGAAATGTCCATTGTTGTCCCTGTCAGGTTCTCAGAGATAACACAATGAATGTGTAAACACATCAATACACACACTTTCAGAGAAACGATGCTTTTTGCTTGCTGCGTGGGTTCTAACATCTCTGTCATTCTGCATCTAAAAATCCGCCACTTATGGCTTGTTTTCTTGCAGAGCTCATGTTCCTGGAGACCAGTGCCCTGACGGGCGAAAACGTGGAGGAGGCGTTTCTCAAGTGTGCAAAGACAATACTGGCGAAGATCGAGTCTGGTGAGTGGCCTGCGCATGTGCTAGATGCGATGCAGAAATGTTGAGAAAAATCTTCATTGTTTGGTCTTACAAAACTTCTCTTGAGTATTAGCCAACAAGAAAATGGTGGCCACCTTTTCATACTCCTTGACCTACACTCCACATTTAAGATCCCCTAGAGCAGCTTATCCGGATACCTGCAAAAGACCCAACACACATTTGCTTGCCCAGCGAATTGACTGCCACAAAAATTTTCAGTTATCCGTCAAGTATGAGCAGGTCAGGGATTTGTGGCACACTCCAAGGGTTTTCTCTCTCCTTTTGTCCTAGCGAGCGGGCTGCATGCTAAAGGGGGGGGGGGGGGAAATGACAGGTGAGCTACAGAATTGTGTAGCGCGTGTCGTATAATATCTGTTACCAGAGTGAATGCTGATGCTAATGTCTTAAAAACTTTGCTGTCAGTCATGCAGAACTTTCTATAATGTAGCTGTAGCCATGAGGAAACATCACAATACAAGTTCATGTTTTACCGAGTGGTGTTCAGAAGAACTTCTGATAATTCAAACAAAATTCTGAGGTCCTCTCAAGTTTGAATTATCGAGAGTGTAGTGTAGTCTGGTATCCAGCTTTCGGTCATATGGGTGCGATTTTGACTTGAACACTTAAAACAAAGCCAACATTACCTGTAATGGCCATGTTTGCAGCGACATGGTGCAGTTACTGTGACAAGCAATTCTAACGCACACCTGACTTGCATGACCCAAACACAAAAATACTGCTGTGGGAAAGTTTAAATGTCTTTACGAGAATCGATAGCAAATGTGATATTCCGGTCAATTCTTTCTTGGAAGAAAGGTACACATTAGAATTGAATAAATACAGTAGCTGTTCTTTTGCGAAAAAAAAAAAGTGTTTCAATTAGTGAGTGCTATACATGGATTCAGGTGCGCATAAGCGGTCAAAGTCAATCCGTAGTCATCACGGCGTGAGTCAGTGGCAAATCGTAGTTTTGGCACAGTGAACACCATAATGTTGGCAAATTGTATATGATTGCAGGCGAACTGGACCCAGAGCGCATTGGATCGGGGATTCAGTATGGTGAGGCGACGTTGCGCAAGCTGAACCGCTCGCAGCAGCAGCGACGCCCAGGCGCAGAGTGCTCCTGCTGATGTCAAGACGAGACACTTTTTTTCTTCTTCCACGATACCCGCCGTCCCCTCATGTTCTCAGCACGAGAGGGAGCGCACACATCCCACGGCGAAAGCCCTCTGATGGTTGAAGGCTGCAGAGAGCTGCCTCTGCAGCACTCGCACCACGTCACCCTTGTTTGCCAATTCTCAAATGTTTCCACCTTTGTCTGTCCTGTCTTTAGCTTGTTTTTTTCTCCACGTTTTTTTTTTTTCAGTCCCTCTTGTCGTTGTCATGTTCTTGATTACGAACTGTCTTCCTCACATGGCTCTGTTGTAGTGTCTTCTTGTGCTTTTAGGCCATTTAAAATCTGTCTCTTCAGAACACACGCTTGGAAGCACTGTGAATACTATACCAAGAAGATGAGGATGTTCGTTTTTTTTTTTCTTCTTCCTTTATATAGAGGGTCTGCTCATAGCATTCAGGTGACTTGTCTGTTGTTTGTATTAAGTTAGTCTGTGGCCGCATCCGCACATTTAGAAGGCTCACTGCACTGAATCCGTATTCGGTTCATTGTGTCTTGTCGAGACAGTTGGTATGAATACGGGCTGAATCCAATGACGGAGCTGTCTGTCGACAGGCTGGTTTGAAGTGCTGCAAACCTTGGACTTGAAGACGAGCTTAGTTTGAATGCTACTCCTTTGGAACCTCATCATTTGCGCCCTATTTTGTTCTCAGTGCCTTTCGTGGCCATATTTTGCAAGTTTCACAGTCACATGCCATAGTTAAGCAACTTTCTTTTTTAATGTCTGTAAAGTGCAAAGGGCCTTTTTTCTTTGTACATTTGTGGGAGTCGTAGTGGTGTGCCTATGGTGTGCTAGTACTAGCTGTTGTCGGGCACAATTTTCTCAGAGGTCAGCGGGTTGGAAAGCTAGAAGCTTTTGGCATGTCAGTGAGGTGCCACCCTGTCCGGCATGCCGTCGTCACCCGTGCTGGCTTCCGTGTGAAAGTCTCGTGCAGATAGGTACCTGCAAGACTCGTGCTTTGTCAACTTTTGTTTGAGGTCCGGAAAAAAATCCATTGAGTTTTTCGCAGTTTCTTCTAGTTGGAAGAGCCTGCGTGAAGTCTCGCGTGACTCAAGGACATTGTTGAAACTTTGTTGACAGCAACATATCACCGGAATCGGAAAGCAGATTGTCTGCGTCTCGCGGATGTTGCAGTCGAGCGTGTGGTCGAGTTGACTCGACAGCGATGTCATGCTCGCCGTTGGTCATTTTAACAAGTCAAGCGAAGGTTGTTGATGTGAAAAGGGGCAGTGCATTGTTGCAAGTTTTTCGGAAGGTTGCTGATCTATGGACGGTAGGCATTATCGGATGGAAGCAAATCGGAGATGAAATCAAATGGCACATGGGAGACAGAGATATAAAGAGAGCCTTTGATGCTTTAAATGGCAGTGGTGCTCTTTTTCATGGAAAGGAAATTTCAGATTGGCTTCTGAAGTGTGTGGCTAACAGATTGTCTGGGTCTCTGGCTTCCCACAGCCTATGTTTGTCTAGTCAGATAGTCCTCTTTTTCTTTGTGTTCCACTCAATGTAGCTGTCGCCAGCTCTGCATGTCGGAGCTTTTCTCTTCACTGCTCCTAATAAATGAGATGCCGGAGACGAAGCATTTTTCTCCTCGTATACCTGTGTGCATTTTGCTCGGTGCATGTGAATCTGTTAGTGGGTTCTTAATGCTCCGTATTTATTTTACAACTGCTGATCTGTGTGTGTGCTAGTGTTTTTTTTTTTAATTGAGCCTCTGCTGCTATGCTTGCAAGGATAGGCCGCAGTTTTTTTTTTTTTAGTATACTATAAAGAAGCACATGCATCGTGGGAGACTGTAATTAACCTAGAATGCAGAGTGCAACGTTGGACGAGTTGGTGCGCACAGCTTAACGATAAAATTTTGGCACAAACCTAAAACAAAAGTGGAAGAACAACAAAAAAATTGAGAAAGGCATTATGAGAACCCTTTCCTGACCTTCTCTCGTTTTTTTTTTTTTTTTCCTTATTCTTTGTGCCGCAACTATTTCGTTAATCCATCTGGCATCCTCATTTCGTGCTTGTATGTTTTCGAGTTATGAATGTTGCATGTTTCCCACCGCTCGTCCAGACTGGAGGGGCGTTCGAGTGAATCTCGCAGCCCGTATTATTGGTGCTTTCTTTTTTAAACATTCCATCTGACTGAAGTGTGGGTACATCCTTCAGTTTTCGTCCTTGGTTGCCTTGAGAGACGTGGGGCAGGGGCCGAGCACAAGCAAAGTATTGAGTGCAATAATATAGAGACTCTCTTTCGGCATTAGTCTGGGAGCCTGGTATGTGTTCAGCTAGTAATTGTGTTTTCTGTTCAAAGAAAGAAAAGAACGAATTTTGAAGGCTGGGAAGAAACGTTGCGTTGTAGTTTTTAGCAGCTCACATGTCTTTAGCATAGTTACAAGAGTAAGGAAATTACAAAATTTTTGGGGGAGAAGAAAGGGAAATATATTGTGGATTCCTCTACAACATGCGTGCTTCTTTGCACAGCCAACAATTGTGTCGATTGGAATTGACCTGAAAGCTTTTGCGACCAGTGCAATGTGGCATCGTGAAGGCTCTGGCTAACCACTTATGTCAAGCTTGTTAATCTTCTGTCCAGCTGTTTGTACTTGAGGTCACCAACGGGAGCTGTGGTGTCAGTCTGTTGGTCACGATATCAGTGAGCATTGAAGAAAAGTCTTTTGTAACAGGCTTGTAAAGCTTGTGTAGTTGAGAACTAAACTCTGGTTTTGGCTTTACACTTACACGCATTCTGAAAGTTTTAATGAAGGTAATTTAAATACAAAAGGATGCTTCTACAAAACCTTCTGCGAGATAACTGAATTAATTGCCCATATTACTGAATTTGTGACATTTGTTAAGGCTAGAGACCTTCTTCTTGTACAGAATAAAAAAAAAAAATTAAAGAATCTAAGCAGTATCATGCTGCAGTTGCCGCCGCGAAGGCTCACCCGAGCATTCGACATCAAATATCGCTTTTGTCGAGGGGGAGGGGGGGATTATCAGATTTTTTTTTCAATGTTGGATTGTGCGATGTGTAAAGTTCATAATACAACTTTTATAAAGGTACTGCGGTGACTCCGCTACAGTTGCATTTGGAGATGTTCGAGGGATTGTGCTTTGTCAGAGCCTACTGTTTGCAGGCTGTATGCAATCTCCCTGTTCCGAGGGTATTAAACTGGGCACTTCTCTGGTTAGCCTCCCTGCCTTTCCTCGTCTTGCCTTTCTCTTCGTGCCGAACAGATACAGAAAATAACATACGTTACCACTCTTTCTCAATTCTATGTTTATGCTAATGTCTCCTTTCTATAAGAGTAAATTCTCAAATCTTCGTTGGGCTGGTTGTCATAGGCTACGGTCCTACGTGTCTGCATTGGTCCCCGAGTGCCGCGTTCACAAAAGCCTGTGCAGTGTTTGCAAGTGCTGCATATTTCGTGTTAATGTCATTCTTAGCGCAGTTGGTTAGCATCTTGAATTAAAAGTGCAAGTCACACCCACCCCCTCCTGCACATACACACGTGTTGCATTTACACATCATCAAGCACATGTTTTAAATGGGGCGTCTCTAACCATTGTACTATAGCCTCTGCACAACAAGTTTGGTTGTGATCGATAGTGTGCCTCCTAACTGTGATTACTTTTTTGTCTCGTGTAAACTGCAGTGTCACGTTATTTCTTTCTTATTTGTTTTATTTTGTATTCAAGTTCACGTACCGTCGTATGACGTTTTGACGGATGTGCTCTTTCAGTGTTATGTTCTCGGTACTTGGGTACAAGAAGCAGTCATTGTTAAAGCTACCAGTGTTATTTTTGAGCCTCTCGTCAACACGCATACACACATTAATATATATATACTATATATACAACAAGACATTCAATATATATATAGGTAGCAGCTGACATGTATATAAGATTTATCTTTTAATAAAATGATCCAGCAGTTCAGAAATACTGTTTGTGCGCCCTGTTTTTGTGTCACTTTCGATGTGGCTCCTTTGTGCTAGTGCTGAACATTCTCTGCCACAAGCAGTGAATGCTTCTTCACTTGACGCTAGATTTGTCGCAACTTAAGTGCATGACCCGCCACAGTGGTCTAGTGGCTAAGGCTCTCTGCTGCTGACCCGCAGGTGGTGGGATCGAATCCCGGCCACGGCGACCACATTTTTAGTGGAGCCGAAAATTCTTGAGGCCTGTCTGTTTAGATATAGGTGCTTGTTAAAGCGTGCCATGTGGTCAAAATTTCTGGCACCTTAAACCCCAGCCATTACTGTTAATTTGAGCGCATGATATCTTCTGTGCTGTACTCTGGGTACAAGTTATTCCTAATGTGCACTTCCGAAATTTTATCCACTAGTGGCATATTCAGATATCCAGGAGTGTAGTCAAAGGACTCAACCACGTCCTTCCCCTACCCCCCCCCCCCCCCCCCGAAAATTTTCTGTTTTGCATATGTATATATATGCATGCACACATACAAATGTATAAAGTACAATTGAACTGCCCCCGAAATTAAAAATTTCTGGCTATGCCATCGGTATCCACTATTATTAGAGATATGAAAAAACCTGTCCTACTGCTTAACAGAGCTTCTGTGCACCGTTCGGTCGCCTTAATTAGTGGTACACCGCATGTATATGTATTCTGGGTGGCATACCACAGATGGCCCAAGTGCGTTTGTAAACAGCCTCGCGTGAAACAAAGTGTATTTTCCTGCCCCGCCGCGGTGGTCTAGTAGCTAAGGTACTCTGCTGCTGACCCGCAGGTCGCGGGTTCGTATCCCGGCTGCTGCGGCTGCATTTCCGATGGAGGCGGAAATGTTGTAGGCCCGTGTGCTCAGATTTGGGTGCACGTTAAAGAACCCCAGGTGGTCGAAATTTCCGGAGCCCTCCACTACGGCGTCTCTCATAATCATATGGTGGTTTTGGGACGTTAAACCCCACATATTAACCAATCAAGTCAAGTGTAGTTTCCGACACCCAAAGAACACTGGAGTTTCAAGCACACCCACTATGGTCGCTCAATCTGGCCTGAAGACAACTTTATTGCGGAGTAGAGGAAAGAGCAGCTTAGAAAACTAAATTATCATTGTCACTTAATAATTAACTACCATTGGCAGCATCCTCGGGTGTCAGTGTTACCACCATTGCCCCTCCTCATCTGAGTGGTTCACCCTACTATCAGGCGTGCGTTCTCTTTGCCCAGAGGTAGGCGATTCCTCATTTCAGGTAGCCATGGCTTGCAGCCAACATTCAAGCTAGAGTGACCTGGAATATACCCAAGCACTGTCCACCAGCCAGAGCTGGTCCTCGGTGCTTAGTGTCGTCGGCAACGCTTCCCAACAACCTTCCGATGAGACTGGTCAAGGGTGGCAGGAGGACAAGAAATTTGGCCCCTTCGTAGACCCTCTTCTTCAGTCAGCGGCAAGGCCTTGAATTATGGTGGTGTTTTTGGCCACCCAGATGGCCTAGAGCTGGTGGTCTGGGCATGTTCCAAGTAGGGTAGCCTCCCACTGCTCACTCGTGGTGCTTGTCTTCCCATTTCTCTTCAACCTTGCCTTCTTGGGGGACACTTCAAGATTTTAAATATCCAAACCAATGCACATCGACTTCCACAACTAGACTTACTATGAAAAAATATAGACTATCACATATTGCAGCCACTTCCCTAGCATGTTAGGGAGCCATCTCTCATTTAGTTATTTAAAGAGAAGCCTGGCAAGCTAGCCATCCCTAGCTGAGGACTTGGATGCAGCAGCTATGTGCTCAGGATAGGCATATGTGAAGTAGTGTTAAGTGTGCTTATAGCACTGCAATGAAACAGTTCTGCACATACATCTTGCAGCAAGACTACATACATGGTTCGGATCTTGAGATTTGTTCATCTCCGTCAACAGCAAACTACGAGTTGAGCCGGAAATCAAAGCCCCGCGGCGGTGGTCTAGTGAATAAGGTACTCTGCTGCTGACCAGCAGGTCGCGAGATCGAATCCCGGCTGCAGCGGCTGCATTTCCGATGGAGGCGGAAATGTTGTAGGCCCGTGTGCTCAGATTTGGGTGCACGTTAAAGAACCCCAAGTGGTCGAAATTTCCAGAGCCCTCTACTATGGCGTCTCTCATAATCATATAGTGGTTTTGGGACGTTAAACCCCACATATCAATCAATCGAGCCGGAAATCAGAGAAAGTGATGCATGCTAACAAAGGACAAAGAGAGTGGTGTGCTTTCGAACCCGTTACAAATGCGGAGCAGAACTTGCTCAGCAACCAATTTCATTTGTGTACTCGTAAATGTGCAAGTTCCACGAGAGTTGCATCACATTGGGGGCCAATGTGGCGTTGAGCTTGATACCATTGGTCTCGCTGCTTAGCTGGCCAGCCAGCGTGGGTGATTACGGATGTAACCTCCTTCCATCTCTAGAGTGTTCGAGGCGGGGAACACAACACGCATTCTTGGCGTGTGGTGTTCTACTGAGAGCTGGCATTTACAGCTATGCACTTACAATGACTTTCAGAAACTTGACCATAATGAAATAATGACTCTGTCAGATTGTCATGAAACAGGTCATTGGAATTGTTTACGTTAACGTGTGGCACATACCCACTGTAGGGGATTGGTCAAGAATTCAGTGGTTTTATAAAATGGTATTAAGTTTTAGACTAATGGAGCTTTGTAATAGAGAAGATTACGGTATAATTAGATTATGGTGCTTGATCTATATATATATCTATCTAGAAAAACTTGAAATATAGGAGATACACTTATTTTTATACGTATATAATATTGTAGACTCATTAAGATAACCCTTATTAGTTAGTCTGCCAATTAGTTTCAGTAATATAGCCCCTGACAGCCGCACATACGCATTGGGGAACCCAGAAATAGAGGCTCCAAAAGACAAAATTACAAACGCAGCTGGATAAATTCATACCGATATAGCCGCATAACAGTACGTATTTTAAAAGTTTTTTTGTACTGTAAGAAACCACCTGCAGGTAAAAAAGAAATGAACTATTTCTCGGGGCGAAGCTCCTTAAGGCGTGAATCTGACCATTCCATGTATGTACATAGTAGAACGTAGCTATTGGTGGCACATACCCGCACCAGAGCGGGTATGTGCCACAGAAGATGCGAGATGGCGGTACTAGGAGTGTTCGCTAGATGGGCGCACGGATGGACGAGCCGACAAACTAGCGGACTGACGGACGGACGGATGGCTGCACGAAAAGACGGATGGATGGATGGACGGAAGCAAGAACGAACGGACGGACGGAAGCAAGGACGCACTGATGGACGCTTTGCCCCACTGATCATCATTCACTCCGTGGATGTATGCTGTGATTTTTCTACAGAACACGCGCATTGAGGTGCCTGAGCAGACCTAGTGTTTGTAGCAATTTATATTCAGTACCTGGCAGTGCAGCCTCGTGATAGCTACTTTTAGTTACGAGTTTGGCGAAATAAGCCTCTTCGCCAGGGATGTAATAAGTGGCGATACTCGGTAGAGTTTGTCAGTGCTATGTCTCCAAAGACTTCCATAAGTGCACGCCTGCGGAATCGAGCAGCAGTCACATAGGCGGATGATGTAACGGTAAAATCGGTCCACTTATTGGCAACCTGGCTAAAGAATTGGTCATTTTATTGAAAAATCCCAATCATGTCCAGGCACCCAAAGTAACCGGACTTTTCTCAAACACGCTGGTACTAGTGCACGGAAAGCCTTTATTACGTGGGACTCAGCACCGACAGAAAGTGCCACACAGAGTGATAGAAAGTCTGTTATTATAACAACTGATTCGTTTGCTGTGCTCAACTTGCTTAAGGCGAGCACTTCTGCCAGAAATTGATAAGATATATGGTGTCCTCTTTTCCACATCGATCGAAGAGCTAGTGGCGGAGCGCTCTTGCAGGACAACTGCATACGGTCGTCTTGTTGTGGCAGAGACGCGTCGTTACTCGGCAAAATCGTGGGATTTGTAATTTCTATTAAAGGCCCGACCACACGTATCCGTTGCAGCGCGTGGCTTTTCTCTTGCTTTTTGACGCGCCGTCTTTTTTGGAGAGGAGTGGGCGCGAAGCTTCATTCATGGCTTTGGCTTCATGTAGCCACACGCGCCATCTAGAGCTTCGATAGGGAGAGAGCATGACGCCGCGGCAAAAATCATGGGAAACACGGAGTTAAGATATGGAAAAAGTCACCCGCTGCAATGGACACATGTGGTCAAATTGGACTGCGAGACAGCCCAAACGTAGTCCAACGCGTAAATTTGAAGTAGCCCAAGAATAGCCAAAGTCAGTATTGTTCTTTCAACATTTTTTCGCGCTTACATAATTAATTTCCCGCAACACTATATGCCTATTAGGTGAACAATTATCAAACAAAATTTTATTATTCTCATTGAGATGATAATAATACAGCCCCGTCATTGTGAAGGGGGCCTAAGAAACGTTACATTTTGTTATACTAACACCGAGCACGTAAGACAACAAAGAACTGGCAAGACTCCTGGCGTCATTTACAAAATTCCATGTGCCGAGGGCCCTTATCGTAAATTGGCGAGACAACAAACCTATCGAAACGACTCTGACAACACGCCAAAGAATGTCCTGAATCTGAACAAAGGAGCGCAGAGCCATCGCCAAATATTGTGAGACATTCGATTAGATGATAAATAGTACCACACAACCATCCTGGAAAGCGAGACTAACTGGAGGAGAAGAGTATACTACTGAGTCGTGGCATATACAGCGAACGACCCAAAATATTGTTCCTTCCTCTGGTCCGCTTTATGGCGAACGCCGCTGCAACGTCGCCATTGTCCCCCCTGACGGAGGAACCAAGTCGGTTCCGATGCGTCGTGTTTTTACGTGTTTTCCCGTACTTTACATTCGTTGGAGTTGAATATTTTTTTTCAGTTCACCTACCTTCTGTCTCAAAATAATCCCAGAATAATCCCAGTCCCAGAATAATCAAAGGGAGCTTGGGTACTTCTAGTACACTCTAGCTTGGGGTGAAAGGGGGCAGGTGCTTGCTCACCCTCAAAACACGTTCTCAAAGGGATGGCACGTCAAGCCCTTTCTTAAATTATGTCCCGATTCAGGTGCAGGGATTGTTGAACACTTGGTGCAGAATACTGAGGCGCAAAAAACATAACGTGAAGAAGAGCAGGAGAGAAGACAGAACAGCGCCAACTACCAACTGTTTAATGACCGTCTAGGAAACGCACTGGAAAGAAGACAAAGCCGCGCATGCGTGCACAGCCAACAAACATCGCACAGCGTCATGAACAAGGCACTAAGTTATCCAAAAAATGTATTTCTGTTGCGTACAACACAATAGATGTATCACTGATACAATCGGACCCTTTCTTTTTGATAAAGTAGGCTTCCAAGAGCTCTCTAGCTGTTTGTTTTTTGCTCCTACCAAGAATCACCGTCCTTTCAGACAATGGCACACATCCGCAGGCTTTACACTGCGCTGAAAGATGCGCATGCTCACTTTTGCTTAAAAAAGTATTGGCATGCTCCTTCAGTCTGTCATTAATGCAACGCCCCGTTCTGACCGATATAAAACTTGCCACAGCCTAGGGGAGTGCCATATACCGCGCCTTGTGCACAGCGCCTAAAAAGTCTTGTGTGCTGCTTCTGGCAGCCTGACAGACTGAGGGAGCATGCCAATGGTTTAGGCAAAAGTGAGCATGCGCATCTTCCAGCGCACTGTAAAGCCTAAGGATGTGTGCCATTGTTTGAAAGGACGTTGATTCTCGGTAGGAGCAAAAAACAAACAGCTAGAGAGCTCTTGGAAGCCTATTTTATCAAAAAGAAAGGGCCCGATTGTATCAGTGATACATCTATTGTGTTGTACGCAACAGAAATGCATTTTTTGGATAACTTAGTGCCTTGTTCATGACGCTGTGCGATGTTTGTTGGCTGTGCACGCATGCGCGGTTTTGTCTACTTTCCAGTGCGTTTCCTAGACGGTCATTAAACAGTTGGTAGTTGGCGCTGTTCTGTCTTCTCTCCTGCTCTTCCTGCTTCACGTTATGTTTTTTGCGCCTCAGTCTTCTGCACCAAGTATGCACCAACTAGCCCAAAAACAAGTCCTTTTGAAATTGTTGAACACACTTGAGTATTTTGGTGGCGGCACCCCAGGCAGCGGGCGCAAGTTCTTGGCGTCTTTGTATATCTATAGGGTAGGCTGAGATTAAAGGAACGCACCACGCGTACTTGAGCCGTTTGGTGTCCCCGGTTCGAAAAGTCTCCACTGTTGTAACTTATAGCCCAAAAATAGGCACATAGTCAAAGAGAACATTTCGACGCCAACTCGAACAAAAAGTAGCCCAATTTGGCAATTAATAGCCCAATCTGGTAGCCCTGCAAAAGAGTCAATAGCGTACTAAACTGAAAAAAAAAAGTACGGGGGGGGGGGAGGGTGGGGGGACCTCAGCTCACGGCTTCCCCTCCTAATGAAAACTTTTTTGTTGAAGCCGATAGAAAACTTATAGAGCGAAAATAATTGTAAAGCCCTCGACCTCCAAACGACTACAGTTACGTCAGTCACGAAGGCCACAGAATATCAGGACTACGCGTAGTTGCGGTAAATGGCCGCATTTGGCGTCACGATCGCCACAAGCCGCAGGGAAGCCGGTTTTGGAATGCGGGGCGCGTATGAAAAACATTTTGCCGCTCGGGCGTTCGAACACCTGTCGCTTCGCACTTCGAGTTTAGTATGTTCCAAAGGCTGGTGCGAACTCAAGACAACATCGGCGTCATGGTAAGTGGTTTAAACAATGTTTTTTACGTCATCTGACCCACATTACGTCTCGTATTGCCCGCACGCCAAAGTTGCCGGGTCGCGTTTGTTTTGTTTACTTCTTGATTGAGATGTTCGGCGTTTGACAGCTCTTCCGGCAGTCGTCTACTAAATGATCGCATTAACTTCGACCTTTTGATTCTTTTCATTTTTTGTTTGTGTAATAAGCCAGCTGTCAACTCGCGCTCACTGCGACCGCACGTGCTAATGTAGAGTTAATTAATGATTGCAGTGTTGTCCTTTCGCCGCTGTTGAGCAGCTACTGCGTGTATTTGCAATCCATAGCCGTCTGAGAAAGTGTTTCTTGAGTGTTTTACTCACGGAAGTATTCATACTTGTGTACTTTTTTTTTCTCTTCCAGAACGGACTCTCGATTGGTCATGGAGAATCCGTCGCAGCAAACAAGGCAAGCTGCTCGTAATTTCTTTATTCGTCAATTGTAAAAAATAAAAATAAAAATGCAGCACAATCCCAGACTACTGAAAGACGGGAAAGAATACGTAAATAGAAAATAAACTAAAAACAGATTTTTTCCCCCTAGGACACTTTGCGACACAGACTGGACCCAACATTACTAGAATAAACTCTAGTAACGTTGGACTTGACCGTTGTACGCCCGACGCAAAGGCACATTTGTTATGTATCACCCGCGGAAAAAGAGCAAATTTTTTCTTAGTGTACACGGCTTTTACGTGTGGATGAAATCTCGTTTAAGCTGCAGGTACAAGTGCAGTACAGGCAGAGTTGTGCACTACAAACCACGAAGAAGTGAGATTGTATAAAAGTTGTCCTGAGTTATCAGTTGCTTATGTGCATTTCCAAAAGCAAAGGCTGCATGGTATGTCATGCCTATGTTTGCCGACTCAGTTCCAGTGTGTGCAGGCTTATTACTATGCGTGCTCAAATTCGCCCTGAAACATCCACAAACAAATTACTGTGCAACACGACGAACCCGGTCTACCTTGTATCGTGCTTAACCGATAAACTTTTGGTGTAAACCTGGATGTAGTACAGCCGAATAGATAGATGATATGGGTTGGCTGCTCCTTTCTAAACAGCTGTAATCACTGAGCAACTATTCAAAGAGAGGTTCCATCTTCTAAGCAAGGCTACCACAGAAATTTGCGTCTGCAGAGTTATCCCAATGTTTGGAGCGCAATGGCAACTCTACCACGTTTTGCAATATCATGCTCAGTGGCTTGTTTATATGCAAAACTCATTCTGCTTAGAATCAATGAGACTTTGTGCAATTTCATGTGCAAAAAAAAAAAGCCAGTACGTCTTTCTCTCTCATCACCCCTCTCGGTAGCAGTAAAGTTAGCAAAATGCTTGGATTTTTACTGTGTATACATCGGTACCCTGTAATTGGCATCCCCATAGAAACTGTCGTTTGCGATAAGTATGTTGGCGCTCACATATGATTGACGTTGAGTTGTCATGGCAGTGCAAGAAGATGAAAATATAGGTTGCCTTCGACTAACTACTACGGTATACAGTAGTGGTAGGCGAGGTTTATGGCATTTTGGCAGTGATGCGCTTAGCTTGCGACAATCACTCCCTCGACAAGGGAGCGCAAAAAACGACATCATATCTCTTGTCGGCGTCTGCATACTGTTGAGGTAGTGCTCTTCGGAATGTTTGGTGTGCTTGGTAAACGCGTCGACGTGCTTCGTTGGTGCCGTCAAAATTCTGCAAGATGTGTCTTTGAAGGAACTTCAGTCTGACACAATTGAACATTGACTATGGTTGTTGCGAGCGTGAACAGAATCAAGATGTGCCTCGATCTGACCGGTTGCTTGTGCTAAGAGTACGGTGCAGTAAAAATGGCGAGCTTTAGTACTGCCTACATAGCATCTGTAACTAAAGCCCCCAGAACCTCGCAAAATAGTGACACTCTCCTCCTTCACCCTCGCATTTCAAATGTGGCGCCACCTGCCTTGCTCCTGTGTAGCAGACGCCCTTTCGTGAAGAGAGCGCTTGCTTGACATTCAGCACGCTGAGAGCATTTACGGCAGCGGTATAACTCATCCTAAAATTATCCAGCGAATGTAACATTGGCCCATAAGAGTTGTCTGTGCAGAGAGCATTCACCGTTGACTGTCATGCAGTAGAAGCAACAACTCGCGTTGACCTTTTCGACGCAGGACAACGATGTCGCCGACGGTCAACTTTGGCGTTTGGTAAGGCGTCTAAGGCTTTCACCTTAATAATGCGTCAGAAGGCGTGCATCATTCATAACCAATACATTTGAAAAGCTGTGGTTGTTTCGTGAAGTCGTTAGTTGCGCAAATCATGTTTCACAAGTGCGCCTTAGGACGTAACTGATATACGAACTATATCACAGAAAGAATGAGCTAGAATATGAATGAACTAGCGTACTACCATACGCGAATTACTTAATGAAAGCTCCAGTCGTGGATATAAACCTTCACACGAAATGGTAAATAAACCATCACGCGAAATGGCACGTATGTGTCAGGTTCCTAAAGGACGCACGAACTCATGCGACTCTAAGGCATGCGCACTTTGCATAGCTTCCCTCGCATCGCGAGTCCTCCGGCTGATTGGTCGATAGAAAAGAGCTGCAGAAAGCAGTTTGCTCTAAATATACAAGCACGCAACAAAAACCAATGGAGAGTACCAATCTTAACCTAAGTTCTCGCACTCCAGTAATGTTTATTCAGAACAGCAGCACGGAATCTCTTGACTTTTGCAATAACATTTTCGATTCTCTCTCCAGTGAAATGCTAATAAGCGCACAAACCAGTGTCGTGAACTCATACCAGTGGACGCATATCAACAAGCAAAACACGCCAGCATGTCACTGTTGACCAAAAAAACAGCCCTGGCAGGAGTGTTAATGAAATCTGATTGAGAAGTGGCAACGTACTGCACAATAAACTGCATCTTGTCTGTGGCGTGGGCGCTGAGAAGAAGCATCAAAGCATACTCGAAGTGAAAAACTCGCAACTATACTTCGCAAAGTGGATTCGAAAATGTTGACCTGAAGTTCTCACTTTCCCTTCTATGCTACCATGTCTTTTGTCGCAACTCGTTGTGCTCAACAGGTAGTATCATGAACAGCCTTCGGCCATCACTAGACTTGCTCTGGCATCAGAAGGCGCAACAGCCACCCACAGCGACGTTATTCTAGGGGGAAAAGTATTTCACAGCACAACATGCACAGAAGGACAAGTTCACATCCGTCAAAACAGATGCGCTGTACCCCAGGGAGTCCGTGACTGGAGAGGAAAGATGGTAGTCGCGAGTGACTGTAAGCAAACTAACACTGCAAGCGGTCCTATGTGACAGCGTCTGGCCAATACTGACGTGCAACCGGCCTCGGAGATGTCGGAGGAGGGGAAAAAAAGAGGAGGTGCGCATATAACCACATACGTCACTACTTTGCGAAGGTTCAGGGGCCATATCTGTAACGCATATGCAGCCTATATATGAAAAACATGTTTCCCATAGAGCTTGAGCATAGAGCTTCTGCTGATGTGCACAATGCGAACCATGGCATTCTTATAGACGCGACATATGTATTAATACAACTTTCTAATGCTGCACGCTTGTGCTGTGCTGTGTCTTTCAGCATACTGAAGTGATTGACAAAGAGATCAACTTCTAATGCAAACATAGAGACTGTTGTGCAGTTTGCTAGAAGGTTAAATGCTTGCTAGAAGGTTCAATGACTTTCACGCTCGATAACATAGAACTGTAGGGTTCCACCTGGCAAGTTTTCTTTCATGTTTGCACCCACTCTACATTGACCAAAGTGTGGTCATGTGTAGCCTATGGTGCGAGCTTAGAAGCTTTGCTCTACATAGCAGGTTCAGAATTCCCATTCATGACTAATTAGCTGCAATACAGCATGCCCTATCATAAGATTTTAACGATGGAGTCTAGGCTGCAGTTAGTTCAGCATGGTGATGATTTTCTTCAGCAGTGGTACTCTGTAACCAGGGGCGGATCCAGCCACTCGTTATGGGGGGTTCGCATAAGGTAACACTGGAGAGGGAGCCATGGTCAGGACTTTTTTGCTTTTACATTTGAGGTGTTCTCACAGTGGTTTCACTCATTTGTCCTCATTGCTGATAGGAGGTGGACTACGAGGACTGAAGTGAAAGAGGGGTACTGACACAGGATTGGAGGGGGGGGAGCAATTGCTCCTACTGCCCCCTCCCCCCTGTGGATCCACCACTCTTTGTAACCCTTGCACTGTGAGGTCGCTATGTTAACTCATTCGCCACTTGATGACATGATCACAGACACGAGGCCAGTTCTAGAGCCTCCTGTTAGCGCGTTATGTTGTACAGGAACCCTATTGTGATGAAGATCTGCACTTTGATTTGTTTTGGCAGCTTGGCTTCGACACCTTCGTTCTAGCTGAGCATCCGACCTGATTGCTTACTGGATGGCCTCTATTGGCAGAGTTTCATGATGCCATGTGAAATTTGTTACAAGTGAAAGATTGAGAGACTAGGCATGCTTTGACATGTGTGTAAGTTATCTGCATAGTTGGTCATTGAGCTGCCTTGACAAGGCACTCTACTGGACTAACAGTTGGTGTGAAGAACGTGACAGATCCGGCTAAAAAGACCGGCTTGGCTTCCTGACTTGTGCAACCCGCAGAGCTATATGGCAGTCGTTACACATCTTTGGCTCGGCAAAACGGCAGGCATGGACGAGTGCCATCCCTTGACTGTGGTAAGGCCGCCGAAGAAAGCGGCCTCATCGGTACTGTTCCCTGTACTCTGAGATCCAGATGCGCCGGTCCTTGGGTGGCGCCGAGTGCGGACGCCCCAGACGATGGGTCTTGCGCTGCATCGGCGGTGGTGGGGTCGGCGACTGTTGCCGTGTTCTCGCGGCAGCGAGAGCCGAGGGATATATCTGCAGTGTCGCGCGAGAATATTGTAAGGCTGCAGCTGGAAAAGGCAGATTTTTCATCATTGATCTCCGACTTTTTTTATTCTTTAAATGTGCGAAAAACACACATGCAGTCAGCCTGCTCACTTTTGCATGAAAGCAATAGCAATGATAAAAATTGCTGCGAGCCAAACACATCAAAGGTAATAAAAGGTAAAACGTGTACAGACCTTGGTTACTTGCATAAAATCAGCACAAACAGCTGTACACACTAACATGTAGAAAGTAAATAACGCTAGGATAAGTGTGTAACACTTCCTACACTATTCTTGGTCCTGCAAGAACATGGTACTAGGTTTTTGAGCATGCACGTGACATTGCAATTTAGTTTGTGCTCTGCGAATACACTGATGAGTACCGAGTGCTTCACAATGGAAACTCTACAATCAGAAGTGGGCTTCATCACACAGCATGCAAAAAGTTGAGGCTGATGCACAAGTTCGCTTCATAGACAACTTCACATTTTCAATACAATTGATGGCAGCAATTGTGCTTGCATAATTCTGCCAAATGTATCGTTTAGTGCACATGTTGCATACTCCTGTCTACTAAACAAGCAATATTGGACTGGGGTCCCACTGCTCTGCTTCTTCATCAGTGTTTGTGTACACTTGCTTTTTCGCTCTCCTTTTACTCTTTCCACCACGATCATGCATTAACACAGTTGTGAGTGCAGGTCAGAATGTACTGCAAGGCTCTTTTCGTTACTGCTTTGATATTGGATCTTCTGACTAGTAGCTCTTTGTTGCACATAACAAATAAAATGTCTATAAGTATTCTTAGTCAGTTCATTTAGGTGAAGAAGAAAACAACAGAACATCACAAATAACAGCACAAATGGGACTTATGAAAACAGCCCAAAAATTAGTATGGTAGAGTAATAACAAAGCTCTAGAAACAATACTGTTATATCAAGCCTTGCAAACGAGTTCTGCAGAGACCTGCAAGGTGGCGGAAGGGTTAAGCCAGTGTCAGAATTTCACGGAACTTGATTCCAAGTCATGTGTCAGGATCGTTTTACGGGACATGGAAAAATAAATAATGAGCTGAAAGTAATGAGCATTTTGCCTAATCTAACCTTCACGCACGGAGTTTTGCTATGAATAGATAAAAATCAAGCAACGAAGCTTTCTCTCTTGCAGTTATCGCTGTTAAGTGCCCCTTGCAGCAAAGATGGGAATTCATCAAAACTGAGACGGTGACTCATTGAGATGCAATGCTTGCACTAGGCGGAAATATTCTGAAAGTCTTGTCTTGTTAGTCGGAAACATGCAGTGGAGTAGACAGTGAAACTGGAAAAGGTAATCCTTTTTAACTGAGATGTAGAAAGTAGCAGTCAGCTAAAATGGATATGAAAGTGTATAAAAGGTGATAATGCTTTTGACAAGAGATGCAGCGATCAGCTTCCCACCCACACTTGTGGGTATTTGCGTCAAGTAAAAAAGGTGCCTGCCCAAGGCATTATCTTCAGTACAGCATTCATTATCTCATATACACATGCCAAGTGTAATATAACTGCACTTTGGCTACAGTTGCTTATGTTGCAATTATGTATGTGCCACAGGAGCAATCTTACCGAGGCCTTGAAGCTGGTAATAGTATAGTAGTATTTTAGTGCCATGCTAGCAGCCTTGAAATAGCACATGAGCGGACAACGCATGCACTAGATGGTTTTCACTGTAACGGACATCCCAGCATATCATTTACATGATGTTTCAGTACAATGTGGGCAACCACAGGCAATGCTTACACTTCAAGGCAATGTCAAAAGAGCCATGTCATGCCCAGATGATACATTACTCATGGCAAGCAGTGACAATGGCATACTGTTTTTTTATATTCTAAATCGTTAATGGTAATTTTCTGCAGCTTTTCTACTTGCATTTTAAATGTGAGAGTTTAAATAGAGTCACCCATGTATCTGCAATATGTGGAGTTGGACTTTTTATGCGGTCTCAAATTTTGATGCTGTTGGCTACCAATTAAGCAGATAATTCATCATCCCCATTTTATCCATGTGACAGCATCAACAAGTGCATGACTATGCTTACAATTGATATAAGCACTTCGACATATTAAGGGATTCGAAGGTAGCTGAAAGGGTCTCGGAACAAACAGGGCCATCTATTAATCCTAGTTGACGACATCAGGTGAAACAAAGAGGCCTGGGACAGCCACGTACTAATGCATAGCACAATCAGCGCTCAGTTAAAGCAACACAATGGTTCACAAAGGGCCGGATATTCAGCTGATGATGGCAGCCAACGAGATGGATTGATTAAATTAAGAAGTCTGCAGGCGTATAATGGAACCAGCTGACACAGGGAAGGGTAAATTGTAGCTCCTTTTTCCTGCCGTGGACACGAAGTAGGTTTACAATGAAGATTGATGGCAGGCTTGATAAATGTTTGTACTCACCTCATTGGTGAGGCAGCCACATTGAACGTCTGCTTGGTCCCTATCGTTTCGACCTCGTCAGCCCAGCCATAGTTCTCGAAGGGAGCACCCCACAGAGCGAAGCAGCGTTGGCACGGTTCCAGCTCCTTCCTGGGAGAGCCGCGGTATCTGCTACCTGCATAGCAGCATAAGGAGAGGCAAGAGGCTGTACTGTCACCAAACAGGAAAGAACACGACCCACAGGGATGCTCGAATGCTAAAACACTGCGGCTTAATTGAGTACGAATCGAATAATTTCATATGTCAATCGGACATTGAATGCCCTTTAAGTAGGGACTTCTTCCACAATTGAAATAGAGCGATATTCACATCTCACTGTTCACGATGTTAGCAAGTTTGTCTTTTCGTTCCATATTACAAGACACTGTTTGTTTACCACAAAGCCAATTAAATCATGGGAAATAAGTGGGCAAGTTGTATTCTTGTATTGTTCACTGAATGCGAATGATAAATCTATAGCTTTCAGAGTAAACGTCCACAAGCCAATCCATGTCTAGTAAACCACATAAGTGCTGTTTGATGCCTGTGGGACTCGTATACTAGTGCATTCAACTTAGTGCATGCCGTGCACTGCCACCACATGAAAGAGAGGGGAATTAGCTGTTATGTCACTACTAAAGGGCATTGGAGAGTTCACTGAAGTGTGGGAACAGGAACTAAAGTACCTGATAAGATGCCATTTTAGGGCAAGACACACTGAAACCTAGTAAATGCACAAAATGACAAATATATTCCCTTCCTTGGTTTTCAAAAAAAGCTTCCATTTAGTGTAGTGTGTATGTATACTTTATATAATCACTACTTGACTAATACATAATAGATACTAGAGGTCATGGAACTGATATTACACGAGGTGTCCATATTGCTTTCGTATATTCATTACATCCTGATATCAACTGATAACATTGTATGTTTAGTTTGTTATTAGCAGGTATAACTAGTAATGTCTGCTTTCACTATATCAGGGCTCTGCTGCATTATAGTATATATTTTTTAAGTGCATAAACTGAGAAATCGGGAACGCATTAGTTTACTGATTGCTTTTGATGCATTTGCATTTATAATCATTGTTATTGCTGTTATTTCTTTCTTGTAGTTGTTCACTGTCTAGATTACGGCTTTGGATATTAGCAAATTGCTAGTTTAAGAAGTGACCGAGTGAATCTATTTAGATTGATAAACTGTACTCCGAGAAGTTCTAATGTCGTTAGTTTCGCCATCATAAGTTGAGAAATAGAGCCGAACAGCAAGGCCAAATTATCAATTTTAAGCTTCATGCTGAAAGTCGTTGCACATGTAATTACGTTTTTTTTTTTAAGTGTGTTTCTAGTATTCTGTCGGCGATTTCTCAGCGAAGTTTTCTTCAACTTGCTTAGTTACATCAGTGACCCCTCAGAGGGCGATGTACAATAGACTCTCATTAAACAAAACCTGAGGGGACCGGGAAAATGAGTTCCATTTAACAGGAGTTGCATTTACTGAGAGGTGAACTGGGCTGCAGCATTCAAGTTTGAAAGCAGTCATATCAGAGGTAGTTGTATAAGCAGCAGTTTCGTTTAACAGGTTTCTTTTCACTGAGAGTTCACTGTGCTTCATTTCTACCAATTAGGGACTATGTAGGACCTTGTAGAGGTCATCAAAAATTACATCATGACATTTGGTGTGTGAATTTCAAGGTGGTGTCGTCATTAGCATTTTTTTAGATGCGAAGCAGCTCTTTGACTAGCCTGTGTAACGCTGTTCCTCCATGCGTTCATATAAACGTGCCGCAACGGGCTTTTCTCTTCTCAGGTGTTGGAGCAGTGCCAAGTAGGTCACACCACAGCTGCGCGTTGTTGTCATGCTCCCCTCGCGTGCCGCGTGCTCGCCGCAGCCACCACAGGTGCTGCCTCGTCCGTTCGCCCGCAACACCTTCCGCTACTGCTGCTTGCTCCACTACCGCGACCACCGTTTCGCGAATCTGCCAGCGCTGTGAATTCTCCATGCTTTGTCGCTTACCAAGCATTTCCTCCCGGCAAACATGCTGCATTATAGAATCTTGAAAGGCTAATCTTAGAATGTAAAGATAGTTTTTCTCTTCATTTGACCTCTTAATATTCAGAGCTCATTCCTTGTGTCTGTGCGCTAGTCAGTGGCACGATGGTTGTGTAAAAAGATTCTGGAGGTAAGAGACAATGAACGCCATTTGAGACATTGAAACTCTACACATCCAGACAGTTGCTTGTTCGACAGTATGTAATACAAGCCGCATATAGAAGTGTGCATTGTGCTTGAAGCTGGTTCACATAGCCGCAATCAGATAGTTTCTTGGGACGGCCGAGCAAGTGATCTAAGCGTTTTCCACCAACCCTAACATTTTGTGTGTTGCAATTTCAAGCTTGCAGATTGTCGTAGCCAAAGGTTAGAAAAAAAAACTGGCAGATCTTACGTACAATGGGAATCGATAATAATGCGAAGCTTAAATGAGGAAGGTTGATATGTCACTTTAAAATCAGCACAACGTTACGTGGTGGATGTACATTATGGCGTACATGATTTCCATGTCATGGTTATCTTGTTTGAACGCATCATTTATCTTCGTCATCTATTCATGTTACAGTGATACCAAATTTGGTATGTGTGGAGCCTAGCAAAATGGTCGGGAATACGTTATGAGCGTAGTATAGTATTGATGTTTTATATGACACATATGTCATGATTATCATGCTTCAACATCTAATTTACCTTCGTCGTCTAGTCACGTTACGTGATACCAAATTTGCTTTATGTGAAGCTAGCTAAACGGCCACGATCGCGCTATGAAGTAGCATGTAGTCACGTTTTCCATAACACGCATACCATGTCTGTACATGTCATTTACCTTCGTTATTCATTCACATCACGTAATACCAAATTTGGTATATGTGGAGTTCTTGAGGGTTCTATTGAAAAATCACCATTCAAGATACCTTGTGCCATACGTCATTGCATTAGTAGCTTAGTCATAACAGGAACAGTTTTCGAGCAAAGTAGTGTAATGTGATTTAGGGGTTTGCAATATGGACCAGCCATAAATGACAAAATATTGACTCTTCGTGTTTGCCTGTGTCTGCATCTCTTCACAATGCATCAAAGTATCGTACTCACTACGAATGCGTAAAGAAATTAGATGTGCCATGAATGCCTTCGTATCCTATAATCGCTTGGGTCCCTGAAAAACTTGTTGCCTGCACTTCGTGCTCACTTTTAATTTGTCGAGATGCATGTGTAGATTTCCCACGTTGTATGGATGGCTTGTCTGTTTATGTGCAAAGGGACACGTAACCAGACAAGTCTTTGTAAAGACATTGGCAATGTGACTCACGGGTTCGTCTTTTGTGGTCCTGGGCGATACGGGGCATCTTCACGATGTCGGCCAGCACCGTCTGCACTGCGACGTCTTTCTTGGCAGGCCACGCAGTCTGTGTGGCCATGTGCCTGTCGGGCGATGCTGCGTACACAGTGATGCACGTGATAAATGTGCGAAGGACGGCCACTTATGATGCTCCCGTGACCGTTGTTGCGCACTTATGCACTGAAAACTCGATTGCGTGTGCCCGCCAGGGAGTGACCTTAATTAATGCATGGATAAGATTTCGCTTGCTTTGAGAGGACTGTCGACGCCTTGTTGCGCCTTTTATCGCATTGCTGATGGTGCTGACTTTGCGGGTTGTTAGGGCCTACTCGCGTCTGTGTTGTCTGCTAAAATAATAAAATAAAAACACTTGTCAGCTCACGTCGTCGCCGAGAGCAGAGTACGAGTGTTTTCTGCTTTTGCAGACGACACACTTTTATCGTGTGACGCGCGCGAGCGGCGCACTTATAAAGAAAGAAAATGGGCAATATCTCTCCGATATGCCCCCGGTCTCCTTCCTCTCATCGCGTCGTAATGAGCGGCGTGCGTAGCCTATTGATGGAGAGGAGGGTGCGAGGGGAAGGGGCGTGTAACACGCGTATCCTCTCGATGCCCGACGTCGCAAACGTCGCGAGTCCTCGTTCCGTGTCGGAAGTCTTCGGCGCGCGCCAGCGCGGCTATTGTGTGCAAGCACGATGAACGGCGGCTCCACCACGGCGCGTTGCAACGGGACGACACCCGCGCAGAGGAGATCGCACTTCGAGCAGTGGGACGCTACGGTACGTTGACGCAGATCGCGTAGTTGCTCGTGGTTTACTACCAGGGAAAGCTTGTTTGCAAGAGCGCTGGAGAGTTGCGGTTTGTCTTTTCCCCGCGCTTAAAATACGATCGCATGATACAATGAGAGTTCGCGATTGTGTGCAGGTTTAATTTTTCTTCGAAAATTCGCCCGACGTACGTACGTGTATCATTGTGGTTCAGCGATCGCAGTGCTTCCGGATGTTTCGTAGCAGACGACACAAGTTGACACCGACGCGCATTTTTCTTTTTCTTATCCCATGCGCAAGGAGATGGACTTTCTAAAGCGATCCCCGTATGAAACGTTGGGTCTTTCTTTTCACTTTCGTTACCGCTATGGCGTGTCGCGCAGGCATTTGATGCGCCGGAATACGCGCTCTCCGCAAACCACGCGCACGCGTTTGGTTGGCTGCCGCGGTTCAACCAGGTGTGAGCGGTGTGCAGAGCCGATGCGTTTGGAGCATTCAATAAATTACGGGACGCCACTTGCAGCGCTGACACGTACGTGTGCGTAGCATCGTGACGAGCGCATATAACTATTTATACAAAACCAAACAGGTCGACGGGCCAGCTCGAAGTGTACTTACAGCGAAAGGGGCTCGAAGAGGTCGACAAATCAACGTACCGAGGATTAAAGCTGCGTCGACTTCTTCTGCCGGCCTGCGACGCGGCGGCGTGGATTTTCGCTGACGGGCGAGAAGGGCATCCTCCTCGGCGCGCTTCTTGGCCGCGGAAGAAGCCTCCGCGATGAGCTGCAACCGACGCTGCCTGAGCTTGGTGGGCGGTAAGCCGCATTCTTCGGACTCGGAGTCTCCCAGCTCGTAGCCGCTGTCCTGTTCGTCGCCCAGCGGTTCGTGGACGTACTCGCGCTGGCGCCTCTCTGCGCGGTACAGCGCGTTCTCGAGCCACAGGGCGTTGCGCTTGTCGGCCGAGAACCACCTGAAGTTGTTGCGGTACTCGGACTTTCGCAGCACCATGTTTCGTCGCCGGGCAACCGGTACACCAACTATGCACACAACGTCGACACGATGGTCGCTTCCCGATTCTTTTTTTTTCACATGTAGACCACGCCGCGCTCCGCAGCGCGGGAAAGCACTATTGGGAGATGTGTCGTTTCGTTCGCAGGCGACAACTTCGCACCTGGCGTCACGATGACCGCGTCTTCGTTGACCTCGCGTTGCGGATGGCACGCTCTTGCAGACGACGACATGTAGTTAACGTAAGCGGCCGGACTTTGCCCCCACTCACCTCAGCGCTGCGTCTGTCTAGCCGTGTTCGCCGTACCCACGGCGCGAGACGGATGAATTTATCGGGAAAGGGCGTTGTTTTCCCTGCACGCTAGGCTAACCACGACGGGGCACCGAGCGGCCGCGCCGCTTTGCACGACGGCGCCGCGGCGTGCATTGATTGCTCCGGTTTTTCCTTTTCGAGTCTTTGTTTTCGTCTGCTTTTTCGCACCGTGCACCGTTATGTTGGCTGACGCAGCGGTGTCGGCCGGCTCTTCCGTCGCCGCCGTTGCCGTAACCGGACTGCAGCGCTTCTTTTGTAAATGGATAATTTTAGAGATGTTTAATGAAGAGAAGGGGGAGAGATCGGCTTGGAAAGAATCCGTTTCGCTAGTCCAATGCTTTCCGTATTATTTAAATATTTTATATATTCAAGTCATTCTTAAATTAGCGTTTGTTCCGACTGCCATCGATGTCTCACTCATGGATTTCCAAAATTAAAAAAAAGGAAAAACCCTTATATTCACCGTTAGTTTAATGGCCAATCCCTTGTAGTGGGTTGAAGCCGAAAAATTCAAGCAAGTGAACAGGTTTCTAGCCTGATACACGCAAGAGAAACGGTAAAGGGACGTGTGATGAGCACTGATGACACTGTCCTCCGGGGGGCTAATTCAACGGATAATTAAATGTTTTTTTTTTTTTCCTCCCGATGCGACTTGTGCCTCGTGCAATGGCTTACCGTCGCGAGGCTGCTGGGTGCGATCTACTACAGGTGAAACTCGGTGTACGCGACGCGTGTCTCGTATGACGACATCCTGACGGGCTTTTATTTCTATTTTTCTTCGCTTTGTTCATCGAGAAACGTTATAACGCACAGATACGTCGCTGTTCTGCGGTTACAGCGACCGTTGTGTATCGCGTGCGGAGACTGATTGGGGCCAGTTGCGGCTACATCCTCTTGCGGCGAACGTGCCATTCTCTTGCGTTTGCTGCACGAAACTGAAACTTATTTCCTGTCAACTGCGTTTAAGAACCTGTTACTCTTTTCACATTATTCTCGGAGAAATAGCGCCAAGATGCCGCGAAACGTAGCGTAACATTTTGCGCGTTACGCAAGAGCGCGCGTAGAGGATCTTGTAAACAACACTTTCGGTTTCGTCTGCTTTTTTTTTTTTTTTTCGTCTGCTACTTTCCTTTTCTTTCGCCCGTAATCGTGTGCCAGCGTTTTCAATTCTGTTTTCCCCAAGACCGGGAAGTATATTGTTTACTAAAGCGTCGTGTGTCAGTCGTAAGATGCATGGGTATAATTATGATAATGCCGAAACGTGTTTTTGTCTTTTTTTTCTTTTTTTTCTTCCGATATGCGTGTAGTCACTTGGCCCGACGCCGCTGCGGTAGCAGCCATGCAGTGACAGCCGAGAGCATCCGCTAGCGCTTCTTTTTGTATTAATATGCCTCGGCCTCGGTGGAGAAATAGGATGCTTCGGAAGGCACGACGATCTCATTACCCATGCGCGCCGTGCCAAGTTTTGTTCTTTTCACTTCGCTCGTGACCTTGCTGAGACTGTACGAGGGTGGACGCATCGAGTTTCGCTTTCGACTGCAAGTCGGATGACCTGTGTGGCACTGTAGTGTGGCGGAGCCACACAACGGAACCGAATCGCCGTTAGGCTCGTCATCTGAGGGCAGTTTAGTGCGTCTATACGGCGCGCAGCTTCTAGTAGTCAACACTGTTAGCTCGGTCCGTTGCCGATCGGGTCCGAGGTCGTGACGTCTGCAGTAGCGGGCGTGCAATAGACTGCTCCTTTGCCCGTATGCCGTCGTCGGCGTCGAGGTTCGGTTGGGGAGGGAAGTGACGTGGTGAAGCCCGCCTGCCAACACGCGCCAACGGTGGCGTAAAGTGTCGGGAGGGTGAGGCGGCGAATTGTGTGTTTAAGGTCGCGTCGGCGCGGGCTTTTATAAGTGGGTGTCCTGTGTGACCTTCCCTTCTCGTCAACTGTGTCCCAAGCGTACGCTGGTTCTTATCCCCGAGTGCCCGGCGGTTTATAGTACCACAAAGCAAAAGCGCTCCGCTGGAACAGCCGCGGCTATCCGTCTGTGCGTGCTTGTGATCGTGATTGGCTCCCGACCTGACATTAGAGCATACAGACTGCTCGGAAGCGACTACAGTAGCAAGCATGTCGACTTACTACGAGAAACGAATGGTAAGAGAGACAGAGCCCTCCATCCGTACTGCGTCCAAGTCAAACATCTTATCTCTGCATCTTTCCGTCACCCGGGTGCCTGTGATAACAATGGTTTCGCTTGTCGATATGAATGTGGCGAGATGGTTTTTTTGTTGTTGTTGTTGTTTTAGGGGCAGCGTGTTTTTTGTTGTTGTTTTGCGTGAACGTGCGCAGCCGACGAGGTGTGTGTTATCGCGGCCTTCGTTATCAAGCTGTTGTGTTGAGTAGGCACGCTGCCCTCTTTCATCATCGTCGTCTATAAGATAACGCGCTGTCGCTTGTATACATCGCCCTGACACTCAATAGGGTCGCGAGTGCGCGCTTTACGACAAGTCGGTCATAGTTTGTGCTGGAGTGTTTCCACATAATTGTTTCACACAAGGTCATGCATCGCGTTCTTTGAAATGCATCGTTTTGTATGGAGGGGTAACCTTGGCTTGTATGGCCTGGCGAGGAGGACATTCGCGACTGGATGACATGCCGGTTCTCTTGCCACGTGGTGCCCCCCCCCCCCCCCATCGCTAGTTTACCCTGCGGTAATATGCTGTTCTCTGGCAGCATTTCCTGTGCCATGTGTAGTCGCCCAGTTCCCTCCACCTTGTGGTTCCGTTGAAGAATCAGGCCACAAAATCAAATAGTAAAAAATCGTATATGGGATAAAGAAACCGTGCGCGCGTATGTGAAAGGGTGACATATAAGTCAAGCGCAATCAATTATGAGTGCAACCAGGGCTGTAAGGGTGGAGGAGGAGCGGGTTCAACCCTCTCGTATCGATGTGTGCGCGAACACACACGCACTCTCTCTAAGTTTCTTGAAGGCGAAACTTTATTCAGAGAGAAAAAAAAATTGAAATGCAGGCAGTTTGGTCGGGCCCTCAGTCCAGGGCTCCGCTGGCACGGGCGGCTCGCTGGACCTGGTCAAGCAAAGCTATTTGGCTCTGCTTGTCCTCGTCCGCAAGCCATGCCTCCCACTGCCTGTGAAACATGTGTGCGAAAAAGCTTGACGTCTGCTTGTCGAAATTTGCGGAGTCCCTTACAGTCATATCGCGGTACGTAAAACACCCAACAGTCATTATCATATTCTAGGTGTGAACAGCCCTGGCTACGGCAACGCGAGCAATACACAGTGGAACGTTGTTCATACGATTCTGTATTATACATTTTTCGGCCTAATACGTTTTTTTTTTTTGCTACACCGCGACCAAGGTAACTTCCGGCCAACCTCCTTGACTAATGCGATTTTTGCACAATATGTTTCATTTTCTGGTTCCCGTGAAAGTGCAGCTCACGCCGTGCATTTATTTCTTTTTCACCTCTCGGAGGACATTTGTTCGCTTGTAGTCGTACAGAGAAGGAAAGAAGAGACAAGAGCGGCTTGTTTGACGCTTCTTTTTGACCCTGGACAATAATGGTCGTTGATCTTGTGTGCCTCTTTCATTTCGTTATCGCCACGTGTGCGGCACTCTGGGCAGCGCCTCCTGTGTTCAATGCCAGCCAGATGCGCCTGATCAGAGTCCTTCATTGAAGGACTCTGGCCTGATCCAGCCGTTCACCACCCTCTACTTTATAGACCTCTCCTGCTCTCGCCCATCGGCTAGTCTTCGCGTGTGCTTTGCATTCGTGGGGGAGAGAACCTTTTCGGTGGTGCCTCACGACGGAAATGAGATTAAGCAATGTTTTGCTCAGTCGTGTACAGATCCGTGGGGCGGCGTTTTGCATCCGTCACGCTGGCCCTGTAAGAGACATGTTTTGGGATGGTGCGTTTCCATTCGTGGTGCTATGCAGACAATCAACGTGACAGACTGACTAACTGACTGTATGTATGTCTGTCTGTCTGAGCGACCGACAGACAGAGACAGAGAGACTTTATTAGATCAAGTGTGTTTGGACTCCCCGGGATCCCTGGACCACCGCGCGGTCCCGCACCACGCCTACACGGCCATGCCTCTCGTGACGTCGCATTCTTGATGGGTAGAGGGCAGAGTACTGACAGATGAGTCTTCTGCTTCTGCCCTTTCGACCAGTGATACCTCCTACAACGGTGTGTAAAGGTGATGATGGTTGACTGTTACTCGACTCCTTCGACTTTGCGTATAGTTCGCTATAGGTTACAGAAGCCGATCGTCAAAAGCTGAAGTATCGTCGATCCCTGTAGAGGCTACTGGATCAGTGGTGGTCTGAAAGAAAAAAAAAGGAAAATAAAATAGTTGTTCTTGTAAAACAGAATAAGTTGCAGGAACCGATAAATATAAGCATCTGTAAAAATAATTCGAAGTAAAAAAAATGGGCCATCTCCCTTAAGGGAACCTTGATCGGATGCGAAGCAGCAGCGTTGCGCGCGCGCTATGTCATGGGTTGAACGGCGCTAACGCGGGTGCTGCGATGAGCGCTGGAAGATTCGTTTGAAGCGATGGCTGGCGTTGTAGGTGACACATACAGACATGTTCTAACGCGTACGTTAGGCGTGCATCAACTTAATCGCACGGGAATCGGCGAGTCTGTGGTGAAGCGAGCGGTGGTCGCCGCAGGTTTTGCGGGAGCTTTTGACAGGCGAGAGAGAGAGTGTGACATCAGCACACACTGCGAGGGGAGCGTGACGTCAACGCACAGCAGTGGCGTGACCTACTTGGCACCGCGCAGCACCTGCGGCCCGTTCGTACGGGGAGACAGCGTTACACAGGCTAATCAAGGAGCTACTTCACATCTAAAATAATTGTTCCAAAGTTTTTTTTTTTGAAAAGTGCACACGTACTTTGCACATAAAAATAGAAAAGGCATGTTGCTAAACATAACGGCAAGTACAATGAAACGTGAAATAGATGGTTAAAATTGACGTCCTCATAACAACGGAGAATGGAACTGCCATGGTGATACAAGCGCTGCATCCCTGGTGTTGGGGTAACTTAATTGAAAGTCATTCCTCTTTTGGAGCTGTACTTTTGGGCGTATAATGAAACGACAGGTGTGTTTGATACACGTAG